CTCCCCCGGTGGGCCCGTGGGCCCTGTGTCTAGCACGTGCTGTTTTCTCCAAAGAGCACTTGCCAGGTTCTGGGGACAGCCCAGGCTGCTTCTGCACGAGGTCTTGGGACCCTGTTTGAGCACCGGGCAGGTGGGGCTGGTGGGAGCTTCTGGTGGTGGGAATTTGACGCCAGACCTCCGGCCCCTGCCAGCGCTGTGTGGCCGCTGGGGCTCACCTGGTCCCCTTGGAGGCCACAGCTGAAAAGGAACTTGAGCCTGCTGCGCTGGGTCGGCGGAGGCTTTGCTGACAGATGACTCCTGACATGGATATTTAATCATTTTTCTCGACACGCTTCCCCCCTCAAGGAACAGGAAAGAGAGCAGGAAAGAGAATCAGCCTGGGTACATGAACGCCATCGGGTGACAGAGCCAGGGGAATTGAGAGGCCCAGAGCTGGGGAGCCCGGGGCCTGCCCTTGTCCCTCGCAGGGGAGCGGCAGGCTCGGGCTGCGGGGAGGGGCGGCCTCAGGCCGAGGCTGCATCTGCGTCCGTCCGTAAACCAGGGGCTGTGTGCTCTGGGCTTGGTGCTGGGGGCGCCCAGGCCGAGAAGCCGCCCGCGGGCCATGCCCACGTGGGGCAGAGGCAGCCCTCGTGTGGTCTTGCGGCTAGAACCCGGCGGTCTCCGCGGGAGCGGTTCAGTCGCCAGCTGGCGGTATCTGGAGGTATTTCTGATGGTCACAGGCCGGGGGCTGGCGGGCCCTGGCACAGGGCGGCGTCCGGCCAGAGAGGTTGGCGAACATTCCTCCATGCAGAACACAGCCCCCGCTCCGGAAAATGACCAGCCACCGCGGTCAGCCCTGTGGATGTGAGAACCCCCCAGCAAACTCCAAGAGCTCCCGAGGTTTTTACACTCAGAGCTCGGAGAAACGGGGGTTTCCACTACTCCAGTAGCGTGTCCGTGGCCACAGGGGGGCTCCCCAGGCCTCACCCTGCGGGAAGCCCCTCAAGCTGGCGCCATCCCCAACCCCCTGCCTGTCTGTGAGTCCTCTGCTGGCCCGACTGATTCCCTTTACCTGGAACGCGGAAACCCGTGGCCATGTACCCCTCTACACAAAAACACGGCAAAAAGCAGCCCCCGTTAATACAGTCGTCCCTTCCTGCCTGCAAAGATGTTACAGTGAACGGGGTGAAAAGTGGGAGCAGACCTTGTGCTATTTACTTCTCTTCATCCCCGCTACCAGCCCTCCCCCGGCCCAGCAGAGACCCCCCAGCTGGTCCCTCAGGCTTCCCCTCTCCACAGCTGAAGTGAAAGTCCCCGTGACACTCAACTCATTAGTCAGAGTGAGGATTTGAACCTCGTGCAACAGATTTTATTCCATGTGAGTTAGTCCAGCAAGTGCAAGTTTAAGTTTAGTTTATTCATCCTTAGTTTAAAAACCTCTCCTACGCCAGTGAGTCACTGGCTTAAAATTGTAATTATTCTTGCGGGGTGGAGCTTCTGCTTTTAGGGTTTGCAGCAGCCAGATCAGCAGAGGTAGCTTGGAGATGGACGGGGAGCTGGGGCTGGTGCCAGATAGAAAGGGCCCCATCCTGGCCCCACCTTGCTGCTTTCCAAGAGCAGCATGCAGTCTCCCTTCCTGCTGTTAAAACACTTAGCATTTCCCTAGAAACGGACAATTGTGCACACAGGCATCGAGTTGTGGGCAGGCCTGGTGCCCAGCTTCCTAGGGCCTGACGGGGTTTCTTGGACAGCTTTGCTTAGCAGTGAGGTGAGGTGTTGTCTGTGCTGGTGGTCAAGACGCTGTGCCAGGAAGGGCCAGCGGTGCCACGCCTGACCACGTTTCTCCCTGCAGGACTTGGCCTGGGCCATCAGCTACTATGCCCGTTTCTTCATCACCTTCATCCCCTTCTACGGCGTCCTGGGAGCCATCCTTTTCCTCAACTTCATCAGGTGCCTGAGTTTTGCTGGCTCATCGTGGGCCCTGCATGAGGGTCCCAGGTCCAGAGCTTCAGAGGGCCCGTTTACCCCTCCCCCTGCACCTGCTCTGGGCCACATGGGGTGGTACCTCCAGGGCCGTGAGCCCCCGGGATGCCGGCGCTGAGCTGTGCTCTCTGCCAGGTTCCTGGAGAGCCACTGGTTCGTGTGGGTCACGCAGATGAATCACATCGTGATGGAGATTGACCGTGAGCCCTACCGCGACTGGTTCAGCAGCCAGGTGAGGGCGGTCAGCACCGATCGGCTCTGGCCGGGTCCTGGGCCTAGAAGCCTTGACTGCCCAGGGCACCCAGCTGTGGCCGGGGTGTTGCTGCCCAAGCCAGAAAGGGGGGCGGGAACCTCTAGGAGGAGCGGGTGGGGCGCCCGGGTGGGCCGAGCCTCCAGCAGGAGAGTGTGACACCGAGGGGTGACCCGGGTGAGGCCGGGGCTCGGAGCATTCCGTCTACTCCGGGCCACTCAGCCCTCTCTGTCCCCAGCTGGCCGCCACCTGCAACGTGGAGCAGTCCCCCTTCAACGACTGGTTCAGCGGACACCTCAACTTCCAGATCGAGCACCAGTGAGTGTGGGCGGGCGGGCGGGGGGGGCGAGGCTCAGCCCCTGGGGCAGAAGGCAGCCAGGGGCGCCCGCCCAGAGCTCCACTCTGCCACCAGCCCCAGGAGTGGCTCCCTGGGGCTCCCCCCGTGGGGCAGTGGTGCCCTGGCCTGGCCACCACTGCCCGCTGTCGCAACGTGCCAGCTCTAGCAGCGTCAGGGTGCCTGGACGGGGCTTGCCCACCTGCAGGGCCTTGAGCCCTCACTGAGGGCAGGCCCAGCTCGGTCAGACAGTGGCCTGGACAGAGAGGGCCAGCCGCGCCAGCCCTGTGCCACTCGTGTTCACCCCCTCCGTCACTGTTTTCGCTCCCCGCTCCATCTCCTCACCCTCGCTTCTGCCATCTCCTCCTCCTCACCTCCGGTCTCTTGACCCCCTTTATTTCTTTCATTTTGATTGTAGAAAAGTGCATCTGTCTCTGGCCGTCCATCCTCTCCCCAGCGCCCAGAGCACACACGCCCTGTCCATGAACCCCCGCACCTGCCCCACACCCCCATGCCAGCCGCCCCTGTGGGCACCGGGAGGGCTGTGGGCAGGGTGCCCGGGCCACGCGAGCCGGCATAGGTGGGCGCCCTCACACGTGCCCTCTCCACAGCCTCTTCCCCACCATGCCCCGGCACAACTTCCACAAGGTCGCCCCGCTGGTGAAGTCCCTGTGCGCCAAGCACGGCATCGAGTACCAGGAGAAGCCGCTGCTGAGGGCCCTGCAGGACATTGTCAAGTGAGGGGGCATCCAGGGGTGCTGGGCCAGGGGTGGGGACCGAGAAGATGCGGCCGGCCACCCACAGTGGTCACGGTGGTGTCCGGGTGGCCAGGCCTGGCCACAGGCCACCTTCTTGCCAGGACGCCCAGTGTCTGGCCTGGGCTGGAGAGGACCTTTCCTTTGCCTGGTCACAGGGGCCTCTCGGGGGGACCCTGGGCTACCGCCCAGTGGGCCCCCGTGGCTATGGCGCCCCCGAGTCAGAGCTGAGACCCCAGTGCGCCCTCCACCACCGACCATTCCCCGGGCTCCCTGTCCCACCTCCCGGCCCCTGACTGTCCATCTCCGGTTCTTCCCAGGTCCCTGAAGAAGTCCGGGGACCTGTGGCTGGACGCCTACCTCCACAAGTGAAGCTGCGGCCTTGGGGTGCCCACGGGGGAGGGAGGGCAGGTAGGGGTGACGACCCACGGGCGGGTGGGGCTTGGTTCTGAGGGGTGTTCGTGGGGCTGGATACACACCAGCCCGCACACCCGGTTTCGGTCTTTCTCTGGTTTCCCCTCCGTTTCCCTTCACTTCTTCCTCCAGTGCCCGTCCCTCACGGGGCCTCTCTTCTGCCAGCTCGGCCTTCTCCCCAGCTCCTGCCCCAAGGCCAGTGGTCTGCAGATCCAGCTGCGCCCTCAGGCCTCACACTCCCCCCTGCCCCCCTCAGGCTCCCTGGAAGCCTGTGGAGCGGGGTCCCAGCAAGGCAGCTTCCTGACCCCCAGGCCCGGCTCTGCCCGCAGGCGCCACTTCCGCTTCAGTGTCAAGGGCCTGGCACCGCCTGCCATCTTCCTTGGCCTGTAGGGCAGCAGCTCAGACCGTTGGGGTCCCGGGAAATTCCCCCTCGCCCCTGGGAGCCCTCTGACCCAGGGTTCGGCAGCTCCGTCCACGGCCTTACCAACTCCAGACCTGTGGCCTTGGGTCCCATGACACTGAGGACTCAACACAATACCAGCAGAGGCCATGGCCAGCTTGGCGGTTACTGGCCTGGAGGGGCAGCCTGGTGCCCCACCCCTTCAGCTGTCTGCAACTGGGTGCCCAGCTGGAGCAATCAGACTCCTCCAGCCGTGGCAGCCGGGCCCTGGCGGTCAGGTCCTCAGGCTGCAGGAGGCGCTGGGCCTGGAGCCTTCACTGCGGCCTCAGCCCTGCCCCCAGCACCGGGTCCTGTCCGGCGGCTGGTGAGGACGCGCTCTTACTGCCTCCCACTGTCTTCCATCTTGTACTGGCTTTTTAACCTTTTGCTCCAGGATACATTCTGATGGGCAGGGTATGGCCACGGGGCTGGGCCTTGTGACAATCTGCCTTTTACCTCAGGCTCCTCAGTTGGCTGAGCTGGGCTCGCTCGCTGAGGCTGCTGCTCTTGGGGTGGCACTGGGAACAGGGGAGAGCCGGGAAGAGGTGCCCTGAGGAGAAGGGGGCATGGGAGGACCTGAGCAGGGCTGTGGGAACTGCAGTGGGGAGTCGGGGCTGGAGGCCAGGCGCTGAGGGGAAAGTGAAAAGTGAGAGGGGCGGGGAGCTGGCCGTGGGGGAGGGACCCTGAGCTGAAGCAGTTGGAAATCTAACCCACTAACACTGACTTAGCTATGGGGAGGAGGGGGCAGGAGCAAGCTCAGAAGGGGCCTTTGGGGGGCACCTAGTCCCTCAGCCCTGGCCAGCCAGGAGCTCAGAGCCCTCCCCCCAGAACACAGGCCCGCCGAGCCACCCTGCTCCCCAGGGGCAGAAAGGGTTCATAAGGGACTGATCTTAATTTTTATCATGTTGCTTCCCCATCCCTCCATTTTTTGGAAATAAAAGAAGTAATTTTATTCTCACTTATTTGGTCAGCGGGCGGCCTTGTGTTCCTGCATGCGATACCAGGTGATACTTCAGGGGTCAAGGAAGGGCCTGGGCTCGGGGAGGAGGACAGGATGTTTCCCGCGGCCACGCTGCCTGCCCACTGCTGCCTCTGCTTGCTCACAAGAGAACTTTCCCTGCCCCGACATGCACTTGGGCCAGGTGCACAGTAAGTCGGCGTCCTTGAACCTCCTGGGAACTCAGTCACTCACGCAGACCCACTGCCAAGACTCGAGCCACGCGGGGCTTTCTGGAAGGCGTCAGGAGGGCAGCAAGGAGGAGCTGGCCTGGGGCGCCACCCCTGTGCTCAGCCCGGTCTCCTGCGACTTCATCCCGGGAACAGCTGCCTGCCCGGCCTCGTGGCACTTGTCTCACCCCTGCCTGTTTCTGGCTAGTGCCCAGAGATCTGGGGCACAGACTGTCAGCCTCGCGGGGTGCTGAGGGTAGCCCTGGAGACCAGTGCTCTGCCTTGTGACCCTTGTGTGTGCGGGGTGGCTGTTGCGTTCTCACAGCCTGGGGAGAGGACCTGCCGCCTGCCCAGTGCTGCACAGCTCACATCAAAAGGCTGGGCCCCAAGTCTGACTGCAGAGGGGGAATGCGAAGAAGGGACTGGGCGGTGGGCCCCAAGGGTATCTTCCATGTCTCCCAGTAGGCCCAGGAGGGGCCCTCGAGGTTAGAAGACCCTGGGATGCAAGTGTAGGAGACCCATCTGCACCCTGGTTTCCAGGGTAGTACAGAACAAGCCCCCAACCACTGCCAGCTGGCCCACACTGACAACAAGAATCCTGGGAGGGGGGACTGGTGGGCTGTGAGGTGCCTGGACACTTGGGCACCTTCTCTGGCTCCTTGCTGGAAAATACCCTTAGGAAAGCCTGGGACCCCAGTTCCTGCCTAGCCAACACCCCCATCCCTGTGCTCCAGAGATTCTTGGCTTACAAAATTGTGGGGGTGATTCCCACCCCCACCCTGCCAAGCCCCTCAAATTCCTGAGTGGTCATGAGACCTGAGCTGTCAACAGCTAAGGAGGCGGAGACCAGGGGAAAGGACTGACCTGAGACCTCACAGTGATGGCTTCTGGGCCAGGACAAGCATGTGGGGTCCCTGCTCCTCACCTAGCACCACGTTGTCTTCTTTCTTGGGGTCCAAGACTAAATACCAGCAAGGGACGTGTGTGTGTGTGTGTGTGTGTGTGTGTGTGTGTGTGTGTGTGTGTGTTTTCTTGGAGGCTCCAGTAAGGCTCCTCCCCCTTCCTTTCACTAGCTAGTGAGGCCGGCTGTTTACTGCCCGCTGGAGAGTGGTGGTGACCTGTCCTCAGAGGCGACAGCGTGGGGGACAGCGTGCGGAGGGGTGGTGACCTGTCCCCAGAGGCGACAGCGTGGGGGACAGCGTGCAGCAAGGGCAGAGGCGGTACACCAGAGGAGGGCTCCAGTCAGTAAGGAAAGAGAGATGGAAAAAGGGGGTGGCCACCTTTAGGCAGGGGGCCTCCGCAAGTGTCCTGTAAACAAGTTGCTGGACAACTACGTCCTAGGTGCGGGCGGGAGGGCGCGCTCCCCTCGGCCACCACCAGGGGCAGCACGGAGCGCCGCCAGCCCCAGCGCTGCAGACCCTCCGGGCGCCTCTAGATGGCGCTGCAGGCCCACCCCGCCACGGGCGTAGCAGCTGCCCCCAATCTCGGGCGTGATGGGCGCCAGAGGCACCACCGGAATACCCTGAGCAGCAGAGGGCAGAGGGCACGCCATGGGGGGCCACCGGACCCCCTGGCCACTGAGGTGGCCACAGGAAGAGAGACTGCGCCAGAGGGTCCATGAGTGCGGAACAGGCTCTGGGCTGAAGTTGGCTGTCAAGGCGGAAATACCTTTCCAGGCGCCCAGGTGAGGGCAGGTGGGGGAGGGGCGCTAGGTCGTGTGTGTGTGTGTGTGTGTGTGTGTGTGTGTGTGTGTGTGTCTCGCATGGGGTAGGAGCGCGCCGAAGCCATCCCCACACACCCTTTTCATCTTTCATCACACCCCAAAGAGGTTGATGAGCTTCCTGGGGGCACACAGCCTGGAGATGGCCCCGTGGGCCCTGCGCCCTAGTGGAATGGAAGCCCGTGGAGAGGGTCTGGGGAGGAGCTGAACAAGAATTGCAGTATGTGTGCCCCTTCCACCGCTGGAAAGGGGCACAGTTCAGGGTATGGGAAACCTGACAAAGGTGGGGGGCCCTGGCCCCCACTCTGCAAAGGCCCTCTAAGAAATGCCAGCTCAGCATTGCAGTTGTTTGGAGCTGTGGAGATGATTGCATAAGGCCTTCAGTTCAGGGTGGAGCTGGTGATGTGGGGTGCTGGGAGAGGCAACTCAGCCCTTCCCCAATTGTGAAACACACCCATTTCCCAGATGAGCAGCCCCAGGCTTCATGAGGACAGGACAGTGCTCGACCGAGGACACTGGGTGGCGCTGCAGGCCCTCCGCCACGGGGTAGAGGCTGCTCCCGGATGCGAGGCACAAACAGCCACTTCCGGGGACCCAGCTTATCTGCCGCAGCAACTGCAGGCAGTTGGACATGGGGGAGATCCCCGGTCCCCTCCAGTGGGGGCCCCCACCCCGCACCCCTCACTGCTGTGCTGCTAAATGTGGTGCCGATGGACAGATGGACGGGCAGGTGGCCGGCTGCCTGGGCCCCAGCCTCCTCCCCATGGGGGCTGCAGGAGTAGCGTGGTGTGAGCCCACAGTGGGGTCCCCTCCCGGGGTGCCTGTATGTAGGGCCTCATCCCTGGGCCCTCACCACTGGCTCAGCCCCGGTCCACGGCGCAGAGGAAAGTGAGGTAGGCTGGCGTGACCAGCTGGGTACCAGTGAGGGGTGGAGGAAAGAAAAGGACCAGGCCGTGGCCAATGCCAGCCTGGGGCCGACCCCACCCCCTGAAGCAGTGGGAGCTCCCAAAGTCACCATCCCCCTGGCTCCTCAAGGCCTTGATAATTCAAGGGCCTAAACCCCACCGCGGTTTGGAGCAGACTCCAGGTCCAAAGCTGTGCAAGATCAATACTCCAAAATATATCTGATTTGTTTTTATATAAAAATAACAGTTTCCCCCCGATTTTCGCTCTAGGAAAACATGTCATGCTCACCATGTGATTTTTATGTACCATCCCCTTAGCCAAGGGCTCAGAGCTGCTGAGCAGGCGGGCCAGGGGCCAGGGAAGAGAGCAGGACCAGGGAGGCAGGCAGGGTCCCCGCGGGGGTTGTGAGGCCTGCTGGGGCCCGTCGGTGGGCCCCTCACTGGTGGAGGTAAGCCTCTAGCCAGACGTCACCAGACTTCTTCAGGGACCTAGGGGCACAATCACAGCTACTAGCCACCCCCCCCCCCACCAAGTGATCAGTGTGAGTGGGCATCCCTGTTCCTGACAGAAGGTAACAAGCTTCCGAATGGAAGTGGAGTCTAGAACTCGGTGGGGACAGGGGAGGCTTGAGTCAGGCTGGTTCTCCTTCACCCAGCTCTCTGCTGCCTCCTGCAGTTCGGCCCTGTGGCCCCGAGATTTGTAAGGCGTGGAGCCTGCCCACCAGAAGCCAGCGTGGGGCAGAGGAGGCAGGGGTCACTAGGACGCCCTGTGCCGGGGCCCTGCGGGGCAGGGGACCAGGCTGGGGAGGAGAAACAGCCCAAACCGCAGCGTGAAAGGACGGGCATGAGGCAGGAGACCAGCATGTGCCAGGGTACAGAGGGAGCTGGCAGGGACTCAGACCTCAGTGCCCACAGTCAAGGCTGCCCGAGGGCAGACCCCAGCAGCCCTCGCCTGAACGGCACCCTGCGGGGGCACCCCAGAGCCAGGGCATCTCTCCTTCGCAGTCTCAGCTTTCGCCCTCGCCAGCAGGCTTCTGCCTCTGGGCCTTGGCACTGCTGGGCCCTTGCCTGGAACTCTTCCCCCAGAGGTCTCTGTGCCCAGCCTTCCTCCTCCCGGTCTCTGCTCACCTGTCACTTCAATACCGCCTCCCCTGCCACCTAGTGAAAGACAGACCTGTCTGGGACTCCCTGTGCCCACTCCTGCCCCCACCCTTAGGCTCTGCAGTTTTGTTTGATGCCAAAGCTCTTCTCGCCCCCTCACATTTTCGCCACGCTCTTGTTATCGGAACTGCTTGTTTTGTTTCTCCTGCTGGGACATGAGCAGGCAGGGGTCTCAGCCCGCATTGCTGGACAGGGCCTGGGGCCTTGGAAAGGCCTGGAATGCCAGCTTAGAGAGGGACTGTGTGGCCTCAGAGAAGGGATGCTGGGGTTGGGGGAGGACCAGGACGGGGAGCCACGCAAGCGGAGGACGCTTACCCAATGATGTCCACCAGGGCGGTGAGGAAGGGCTTCACTTCGTAGTTGAGGCCGTGCTTGGCACACAGAGCCTTGACCAGTGGGGCGACCCTGCGGTAGTTGTGCCTTGGCATGGTGGGGAAGAGGCTGGGGAAGAAGGTATGCGCTGGCATCTGAGGCAGGGGCAGAGGGAGCCCCTACCCACCCAGTACCCACCCCCAGGCATCCAGAGCTCATGATTCGGCACCCTGGGGGGAGACTGGGCGGGGCCCTGGACTCACTGGTGCTCGATCTGGAAGTTGAGGTGCCCGCTGAACCAGTCGTTGAAGAGCGAGGGCTCCACATTGCAGGTGGCGGCCAGCTGGGGAGCAGGCGGGCACAGGGGAGGGGGCTGGCACAGGCCCTGACCCCGTGGCACCTCCCAGCCTGGCAGCCCCATCAGGGGCCCCCCTTCTTCCAGCTTGGCTCCCAGCTAGGCCCGCCCCACACCCCAGAGGGCGCCCCTTGGCACCTGTGAGCTGGCCCAGTCTCGGTGCTTCTCGTGGCCGATCTCCTTGGGGATGTGGTTCATCTGCGTGATCCACACGAACCAGTGGCTCTCCAGGACCCTGTGGGGAGCCCCAGGTGCTGCCGTGTCCAGCTCACCACTCAGACCGGCCTGGGGCTCAGCTTCCTCATGTGCGCCACGGGCTGGCGTTTATGGAGCTGAGCCAAGTGGGGGACAGCCCCAGGCTGAGCCCAGATGGCCCTACTCGTAAGGGCAGACACCCCATAGTCACTGGCAAGCCAGGCTGCACCCCCAGACCCACCGCCCTGGGATCCTGTCACTCGTGCATCTTTCGTTCCCCCCAACACCCAGGGGCCAGCGCTGTCTGCACCCTGCAGGCCCGGCAGGTCCTCATACCTGACGGCCACAAAGAGGAGCAGCGCCCCGGGAACACCATAGAAGGGGATGTAGGACAAGAAGAACCGGAGGTAGAAGCTGGCAGCCCAGAGCAAGTCCTGCAGGGGGGGGGAGGCCGTGGCAGAGCTGCTTCTGCTTGATCTGCCCAGCCCAGACAGGCTCCGGCCGGGCCTGCCTCACGGGAGGGCCGCGGAGGTGAGGACCGCAGAGGCAGAGGTGAGGGTGCATGAGGGCGTGAGGCAGGGGAGCCCCAGCTTGGGAGACAAATGCCTGGCAGAGCTGCCAGCAGGTCCCCCACCCAGGAAGGGTACCCGTGTGCCTCAGGGAGCTACAGTGTGCCCACACGCGGCCACGCGCGCCCTGCCTCCCCCGCACATGCGGC